GTCTGTCCAGATCCTCCTGTATCCTAAGCCTGTCTTTTGGAATGTTGGCTATTCCTGCCAGCTTGGTGTCGTCTGCAAATTTGATGAGTTCCCCATCTATCCCCTCGTCCAAATCATTGATGAAGACGTTGAAGAGCACTGGGCCCAGAACAGAGCCCTGGGGCACCTCAGTACACACTTCCCTCCATGTAGATGCGGTTCCATTGAGGACCATATGCTGAGTATGGCCGGTCAGCCAGCTACGGATCCATCTGGTGGTGATGCTGTCTAACCCACATTTTTCTATCTTATCAAGTAGTAGGTTGTGATCTACTTTATCGAATGCCTTACTGAAGTCCAAGTAAATTATATCCACAGCATTCCTCTGGTCCACTAATTTTGTCACTTGGTCAAAGAATGCAATAAGATTTGTCTGGCATGATCTGTTTTTGACAAACCCATGTTGGCTTTTAGTAATGACTTTGTTTGCCTGTTGGGTTTCGCTGATTTGTTGTTTGATTATCTTTTCCAGAATCTTCCCAGGTATTGAGATGAGGCTGATAGGTCTGTAATTTCCTGGATCCATTTTTTTTTCCTTTTTTGAAGATGGGAACTACATCAGCTCTTTTCCAGTCCTCTGGTAGTTCCCCAGTGCTCCAGGATCTTTGAAAAATATAGTTCAGTGGTTTGGAGATCACATCTGCCAGTTCCTTGAGAACCGTGGTGTGTAATCCATCTGGTCCTGTTGATTTGAACTCGTCTAGGCTGGACAGGTGCTCACTTACCATTTTCTTACCTATCTTAACTTGTGTTTCTAGTCTGTTTTTTATGGCACTATTTTTGATAGATTAGTCTGTTTTTTCCCTTTGTGTAAAGACAGATGCAAAAAACGAGTTAAATAGTTCTCCTTTCTCCCTGTTGCTTGTCACTGTCAACGCTGCTAATATTGTATATTCTTGCTTTGACAAAAATGCAGAACTTTCTGGTATTTTTAGAGTTAATTCAGATGATTGTGGGGGGGGGGAGAAAGATAGGACTGCGCGGGAAGAGAACGGAAGTGAACCTTTTCCCTCCAAGTTAATTGGAAGATGTGAATCATGACCCCAAAATAGGGGAGGGGAAATGCCTGGAATGTTATGTGCAAAGGGAAGGGAAATTCAGATCTTGGCATCCATCATGCTGTGCTGACACGTCTCTACTAATAAAGGGTTTTTTGTTAAATCATGCCTGAAAATTCATTGAAGTTTTGCATTAGTCAGACACATGACATCATGCCAAGATCTGAATTGCTGGAATGTTATATGCAAAGGGAAGGGAAATTCAGATCTTGGCATCCATCATGCCATGCAGACACATCTCTGCCAAGTCTCTTGCCACTTTCGCCCACTAATGGACCAATCGGTTCCTTCACTTTTTTTGTTTTTTACATTTTAAAAGAAGCTTTTTTTGTTATTTTTGACTTTGGTCGCAAGCCTTAGTTCATTTTGAGCCTTGGCTTTCCTCACTTCATCTTTGCAGGCTCGGGCTATTTGTTGATATTCTGACTTAGTTATGTGTCCCTCTTTCCACTTTCTATACTTGCCCTTTTTATATTTCAATTTGTCAGAGAGTTCTTTATGCAGCCATGCTGGTTTCTTTTGAAAGCTGTTATTTTTCCTCTTTGTTGGTATTGTGCTAGATTGGGCTTTTATTATCTCACTTTTCAAAATTTCCCAAGTTGTTGAGTTGTTTTCCCCTGGAGGATTCTCATCCATGGAATCCTTCCCAAACCCTCTCTAAGTTTATTGAAATTAGCTCTCTTGAAGTCCAAGACTCTAGTTTGACTATGTTCTATTGCTTGTGCTTCCATAATGTTGAATTCCAATATTTCATGATCACTACCTCCCAAGGTTCCTGCGGCTTCAACACCTTCTATCATTTCATCTCTGTTAGTGAGAATTAGATCCAATATGGCTAATCTCCTAGTTCCCTTCTCTACTTTTTGGGAGACAAAGTTGTCTGCTAGGTTTGTCAGGAATCTGTTTGATCTTCCACTTGGTGCAGAGTTTGTCTCCCAGTTGATGTCAGGGTAGTTAAAGTCCCCCATTACTATTGTGATTTGCTTCCTACACACCTGAGTTAGCTGACTATCAAAAAGTTCATCTATTTCCTCTGTTTGGGTGGGTCGCCTATAGTATACACCTATGGCAATGTCATTTTTTGTCCCTTTTATATTGACCCAAATGCATTCAAGACAGTTTTCATCATTGTTGTGCTCTATTTCTGTAGAGATGTAGTTATTTCTTATATAGAGAGCAACTCCACCTCCTCTTTTATTTGGTCTGTTTCTTTTAAATAATTTAAATCCCTCTAGCTGTGTGTTCCATTTGTGGGTTTCATCCCACCATGTTTCCGTAATGGCAACAATATCATATCTGCCCTCATTAACCTGAATTTCTAGTTCACCATGTTTGCTGTTCATACTCTGTGCATTGGTGTATAGACATTTGAGTCCTTTATGACCAACCCTGTGTTTTCTTTCTACATAACCTATGTGGTGCCTGAGTTCCCCTATTGTCTTACCACCTATTTGGTTAGTGCACTTTGTGTGGTGCTCGTTATTGAAAACTTGATTTTGCTTGACAGCAAGGTTGGTATTCTTGTCCACACACACATCTATATTACATGCAGTGATAGCCCTATAGTTTTTATTTATTACATAATTAGTAGGTGGGAACTTCTATTTTGTAACTTTTTTGGGGGGGGGACTTCCTGACTTGGTTTCACCTATGTTCGTGCTGATATTATGTAGCCATTAAAAGTGTTCTTTGAGGAAAGCAAATGCCTCAGAGTTCTTATTTCTACTGGTCTCATCTATCGGAACCATGACAAACTGGTTTATTTAAACCTGCATGGCAAAGGATTAAATTAGAAATTAACTTCTCCAATGGGTGTTAAAAATTAGGCAGGAGAATGTAGGCAGGATCCTCAAGATATTAGTCTAATTTAAACTCTACAGGAAAGTTTTGTCAAAATGCCTGAATGCTGTTGGATGGAGAAGAACAGTCTCAGTTTTCGTCATAGCAGACCCAAGCAGCTATGGATGGTAACACAATAGCTGTAGAGGATCATAAATGAAGCAAATTGTCTAGGCCTACCTCAGTCAGCATTCAGGGCTGGGGAACAGCATTGGTTGTGCTTTTGGGAGAACTTTGATACGAATAGGATGTAGGTAGTGTATCCATCCTGGGTCTACTTGACCTCTAAGGGGCCTTCAATATCATTGACTATAGGATCCTTCTGTATTGACTCCTTGGATTGGGAATAATTATTGTCCAGCTGTTATGTCATGTCTGACTCTTCACAACCTTATATCATACCACTCCCCCCCCTGACCTCCACTGTCTGCCGGAGTCTGCCCACACTCATGTCCATTGTGTCGATAACACTATCTAACCATCTCATCCTCTGCCATCCCCTTCTCCTTTGGCCTTCAATCGTTCCCAACATAAGGGCCTTTTACAATGAGTGAGGTATGCAAACATATTGATAATTAACACATTTTAAGTTACTCCTTGCTCTTCTACTATTATAATCTTCAAAAAAGAATCCTTGTCTTAGAGAAAGAAACATGTCATTTTTAGGTTAATAATTTTTTGATAAAATTTCTTTTGAGCTACGTAGACACTTAAGGCATCTATGTTTCTGTTTGATTAAAGCATATATCATTTATGACTCTACTCTGCAAATATGCTCCCATTCCTCTGAGAATTTAGTTTCCTCACAATAGCAATAGCATTTAGACTTATATACCACTTCATAGTGCTTTACAGCCCTCTCTAGGCAGTTTACAGTCAGCATATTGCCCCCAACAATCTGGGTCCTCATTTTACCAACCACAGAAGGATGGAAGGCTGAGTTGATCTTGAGCCGCCCAGGATTGAACTGCTGGCAGTAGGCACAGTCAGCCTGCAATACTGCTGGAAGCTCTGCAGCAATAGCCACAAACAGGGAAAGCAGTCAAATCTAAAAGAAGAGTTTTTCATCAAAGAGACAGGAGGGTCTGGAGGAAAAACAAGAGACACAACCAAGTCCAATGTTGGGAAAGTGCCCAGGCTTTATATGCTGCCCATTAATGAAGAGGAAAATAATTGAGAGACAGAAGATTGAAAGACAGACCTGAATGAAAACACTGTTGTGTATTGATAGTAGTAGTGGTAATATAGTAGCAATGTAATACTACTAATAGACACAGTATAACATAGCATAGAGATAACAGTAATATATTATCAATAGTAATAGAAAACATACATGGAAAGAACTCACAAACTTATGTTTCTATCTTCAATTTTTGTATTCTGGATTTTTTTTTCCAAAATGAAACATCTCCCCAACCATTACAAGGGTGTATAAACATCTACCTGTCCAAGGTCCAGTGCTTTTGCAGATATTTTGGGTCTACTACAATCCAGTTGGGTACAGTTTAAAAGACAACTCATAACAAGCTCTCATGATTTTTTTATCCTTAGTTCTGGATGGGGTCACAGATCCTAAGATGGAACTGGTGTGCAGTTTGGCTGATTTCATTAAAAAGAAAGACTGGAAAAGGTGGGTGTGGGTGTCCAAACTGGGATCCTGGGGAAAATGTGGTTGGCATAGGTAGAAATCATAGTCATTCTTCTTATTGGATGATCAATCTACACAGCTTGTGATGGGAACTGTTAGCAACATCCTACGTTATGTGGTAAAAAATTCAGCTCAGTTGCTCAAGGCAAGAATAATGGCAAATGATGAAAAAGTTAATGTAACATTACAAAGCATAAATATTAAAAGCTGAGCTTTTGAGGATCAAAGGGAGCGAGGTAAAAAGGCTAAACAAAGTTCTTTCTGGTTAAAGTATTTGTATATTTGAATAAAATTGAAAGGCTTCTTACAGTCCTTTCTGTGACATATTTAGAATGTGCTTGTTTTGTTTGGACATAGTTGGAGTGGAAACGTCTCTATTAACCTGTATAGATGTGATTATATGTCTTCTTACTTTTCTACTTAACTTTCCCCATGAGGTGACTTCTATTGTTCAGATCAGGCCTCAGAACTATAACATAGCATTTGGGGAGAAAGATACAACTCAGCAGACCAGCCGTAGAGGCCAAGATGGAGAAGATCTCCACAGCCACCATGGACTTCCCTTTGGTGCTCAGATAGGTGGGAAGAAAGGAGACCCAAACACTGCAAAAGACCAGCATACTAAAAGTAATGAACTTGGCTTCATTAAAGCTGTCGGGCAGCTTTCTGGCCAGAAAAGCCACCATAAAGCTGATGAGACTCAGGAAACCCATGTAGCCCAGAACAGCATAAAACATAGTGGTTGAACCTTCATTGCATTCCATCACAATTTCTCCTATCACAGAATGAAAGTCCAAATTACTAAATGGGGGAGAGATTGCCAACCAGGTGGCACAAACAGCTGTTTGCACAAGGGGACAAGCCAAGACTACAATCAGTTGCTTCCCGAGGAGTTTTCTTGCCCTGTTTCCTGGCTTTGTAGCCATGAAGGCCACAACCACAGTCAGAGTTTTTGCCAACACAGATGAAATAGCAATGGAGAAGATAATGCCAAAAGCGGTTTGTCGGAGGAGACAGGTTAGGTTCCTTGGCTGCCCAATGAAGAGGAAGGAGCAGAGGAAGCAGAGCAGGAGGGAGACCAGGAGGATGTAGGTGAGATTGCGGTTGTTGGCCTTGACAATTGGGGTGTTGCAGTGTTTAATGAAGGCTGCCAACACAAGGATTGTGAACAAAGAGAAGACAAGAGCTAGACAAACTAAAATGAAGCCGAGTGTATCCTCATAGGAGAGAAAGTTCACAGTCTTGGGAATGCACAGAATGTGGTTCTTGCTTGGGTGTTGGTCTTCTGGGCAGGGGATGCACTGAGCCGCATCTGGAAGAACAGGCACCAGCTGATATTAGACAAAGAACCAGGGATTCCCCTTTGAGGGGGATTGTTTTCCCAGTGAAAGAAATGAAATGTCCCATGCTCCCCATATTTTTACTTCTGCTATAGATAACAGAGAAGCATCCAATGGAACCAATCTCAGAAGATGTAACAGCTATTAACTCTTGAGAGTAATTATTTAATGTATTTAATTAATTTGTTTTATTTTATTATTACATTTTGAAAATCTCCCACATACTTTGGGCAGTGTTCAATAAAATTGACAATTCTACAACAAACTGGCTGCATCCATCTTTGTTGTTCTAGGTTGCCACACGAAAGGGAGGGGGATGGAATATCTCTGTTAGTCTAAACAATATTGTGTCCCATGGGAACCAAGGTCATTCTCTCGCTTGGAAGAAGAGGGTTGGGTGTTTTGTTAGAAAGCCCGCCAAACTGCTCTATTGGATTGTGTAGTTTATTGCATAGCACTGGGGTGGGAAATTTTACTTTGTAATAGTGTAATTCTTTGGAGGTAATTTCAGACTTGGTTTTACTTTTGACTGTGCCAATATTTTGTATCCAATAAACATGTTCTTTGAGAAAGTTTCAAGGCTCAGAGTTCTGATTTAGTCAGTTCTATTTATCGGAACCTTGACAAAAACATTAAAACATATAAAAAGTATATAAAAGTTAAAACTTCTGCTAATAACATAAAAAAGGATGCATTCAATGGACAAACTCTTAAAAGTTCTGAATAATTTCCATGTTGATTACCTCAACTGATTTGCTATCTCATATTCTTTCTCATTCCTCCCATGGCAGCCATGCCAGACCTCCTCGTTCCTGCTAGAGGGTCTCCTTGAGCAACTTGCCTGTTTGATTAGAAATGGTCCCTTCTGTGCAAAAAATGCATCCGTAGCAACAAGAAGGCTTCCCCTCTGCAACTTTCCTGGCTTGTCCTGGAAGGCAGTGCTTCACACAACGGGAGAAAGGCTTTTTCTGAAACAAGAGAGGTTAGCTTTGAGGGGAAGGCATTACAAACATTCGGCTTGGCTTCAGGATCTGCATAAAAGGAGCCCCTCTTCTTCCTTCCACCAAATTTTCATCACAACCTGGTCCTTCCTCTCCATTTTCCTGAACCCTGGAGGAAGCATTTAGTCCACACCTGGTTCGCCCATACAATGACATCAGGATCAATGCCGAAATCTTCAGCTGAAGGAGCCTCCAGATCAACCCATCCAACTTTCTGTCGAAGGATCGTCTTATTTGCAAAGATGATCCAGTTGAGGATATCAAATCCTGAAAATTTCATTCCGGTTTCTGAAAAGGAGACTTCATCCCCAGCAGTGTTGTTAAAAAGGACGTTTCTCAAGAAGGCGTGCATCTAGGATTGCAAAACAAGCAAACAAACAAACATACAAGATGTTCATGAAAGTGAAGAGAGTTGATATAAAGAGCTTTTAAATTATGTTATGTGGAATAAATGTTTTTCTGTATCCCAGAGATGAAACAGAGATGGAGATGGTCATTTTTGAAGTTGAGGAACCCAGCAATTCCCCAATGGATATTATCAGAGCTGCCATCCTTCGCGCGGAACTATGCTTTGCTAGATGCCCATCATGAACTATGGCAGGAGGGAGCTGTGGGATGAGAACTGTGGGAAGATGGGAGAAACCAAAAATGATCTTTGTGCTGTCCCGAGACATCCCAAGACCATGGATCTGGGAATGGAATGTAACACCCATCCATCTATCCAACCTTTACAGGGACAATTACCAAAATTCTGTCTTAGTTATGTGTCCCTCTTTCCATTTTTAGTACTTGTCCTTTTGGTCTTTCAGTACATCAGAGAGATCTTGGTGCAGCCATGCTTGTTTCTACTTGGATTTCTTTTTTTCAGTGATATTATGCTGGACTGGGCATTTGTGATCATATTTTTGAGAGTTTCCCATGCTGCTTGAGTTGTTTTCCCCTTTTAGATTTTCATCCATGAAGTTTTTCTTAGGCACTCTCTGAGTTTGTTAAAATCAGTTCTTTTAAAATTTAAGATACTGGCTGGATTATGTAATACTAATACTAATACTAATACTAATACTAATACTAATACTAATACTAATACTAATACTAATACTAATACTAATACTAATACTAATACTAATAATAATAATAATAATAATAATAATAATATCAGGAAGGCTTACTGACTACTGGAGAGACCAAACTGGCCTACAAGAAAGACCAAATGAAGAACAGAATAGAGGCATGGGAAGACAAAGCACTACATGGCCAGTACATAAAAAAATAGCTGGGAAAGCAGATAATAACAAGACCTGGCAATGGCTAAGAGCAGGAAAATTGAAGAAAGAGACCGAGGGTCTAATTCNAGACAAAAAAGTCTGGATAGTGGACGTGGCAGTGCCTGGAGACAGCAGAATAGACGAGAAAGAACTGGAGAAGATAACAAAATACAGAGACCTACAAATAGAAATAGAAAGACTGTGGCAAAAGCAAGCAAAAGTAGTACCAATAGTAATAGGCGCCTTAGGTGCAATTCCAAAACAACTGGAGCACCACTTGAACACCGTTGGCATTGACAAATTCGCTATTAGTCAATTGCAAAAGGCGGCCTTACTAGGAACTGCTTCCATCCTGCGACGATATCTGTAATACCATCAAACATCCACATCTGCCTATCCCAGGTCCTGGGAAAGGACTCGATAGGTAGACAAAATGCCAAATCCAGTATGAACATCTGGCTGACTGTGCGATGATCCATAATAATAATAATAATAATAATAATAATAATAATAATAATAATAATAATAATAATAATAATAATAATAATAATAATAAAGTTGGAAGGGACCCTGGAGGTCATCTTGACCAACCCCCTGCTCAGGCAGGAAACTCTGTACCATTTCAGACAAACGGCTGTCCAGTCTCTTCTTAATGCCAGTGTTGGAGTATTCACCACTTCTGGAGGCAGATTGTTCCACTGGTTAATTGTTCTAACTGTCAGGAAGTTTCTCCTTAGTTCTAGGTTGCTTCTCTCTTTGCTTAGTTTCCATCCGTTGCTTCTTGTCCTGCCTTCAGGCGCTTTGGAAAATAGCTTGACTCCCTCTTCTTTGGGGCAGCCCCTGAGATATTGGAAGGCTGCTATCATGTCCCCCCCTCGTCCTTCTCTTCATTAAACTAGACATACCCAATTCCAGCAGCCATTCCTTATATGCTTTAGCTTCCAGTCCCCTAATCATCTTTGTTGCTCTTCTCTGTACTCTTTCTATAGTCTCAACATCTTTTTTACATCATGGTGACCATGACTGTGTTGCTCATGGTTGCATTATATTGAATTCCAATATGATGTGGTCACTGTCACCCAAAGTTCTACAACTCCCTCTATCACTTCTTCTCTATTAGTAAGAATTAGCTCTAGTATAGCTTTTCCTTTAGTTCCCTCCTCTACTTTCTAAATGACAAAGTTGTCAGCTAGGTTGGTTAGAAAACTCTTCGATCTTCCACTTGCTGTAGAGTTTGTCTCCCAGTTAATATCAGGGTAGGTAAAGTTCCCTACAAACATTTATTATATTTCCTACATACATTTGTTTAGCAAAAAGTTCATCTATTTCTTCTGCTTGGTTGGGTGGCCTGTAGTATATGCCTATAGCAATGTCATTCTTTTTTCCTTTTATATTGACACATAGGTCACTAAAAAACCTAGGAAGTTTTCATCCTTGGTTTTGTGGATTTCTGTAGAACTGTAGTGATTTTTTATATATATACAACTCCACATCATCTTTTGTTAGGTTTATTTCTTTTGAATAGTTTCTATCCTTCCATCAGTACATTCCAGTCATGAGTTCCACTCCACCAGGTTTCAATAATGGCAAATACCATCATGTACTAGTATTTCAAGTTCATCATGTTTGTTCCCTAAACTTTGAGCATTCATGTATAGACATTTGAGTCTTTTATGGATCTTGGGTAAGTTTCTTATATCTCCTACTTTATATCTGGGTTTTCCATCCTTTCCGTCACTCTCTACTTCACTGTGTTTTTCCTTTTCTTCTTCTTATTTTTCTTTACTCCATGCCTCCTTATATGATTGATTATGTAGTGGTTTTTGCTTGGAATCAAGTTCTAAAGGACTTGAAGATTGCCCTCCCTCCCTCAATTTTAGTTTAAAGCCCTTCTAATGAGATGACCCTGTTGTTTTCTGAATATATTCTTTCCAGTCCTTGTGAGGTTCACTCCTTGCCATTAGCCCTTCATGTGGGGAATGCAGAAGCTGAAGTTCTCTTGACAACACCAGTTTTCAAGCCAGTGGTTAGTTTCTAAAATCCTTTGCTCCCTCATTGGATGTTGGCATTTTGTTGGAAGTATAGATGAAAACACCACTTGAGCTCCTAATTCTTTAACTTTCTTCAATAATTCTTTAACTTTCTTCCCACAAATAAATCAGAATATTTTATGGCTGTTCCACCTTTGGTGAGATATTTCCAAATGGAAAGATGACTTTGAAATGGAGCAAGCTCTTAATTAATTTCAATATTTATGGGGTAGCATTACACAATGTACAACATGCGGAGGTATGGAGGATATATGTGAGCTTCAAGACAATCCAAAAAGTTATAATGGAAGAATAACAGAGTTGGGAGGGATCTTGGAGATCTTCTGGTCCAACCCCCTGCTCAAGATATATATCAATATGTATCAAGATATGTAAGAGTCTAGATCTGTATTACAATCCAAATTTATAAACTGCTTGGAAAAATGATGGAGAATCTGGCCAAGTTAAAGATTGCATGATTAACTTGCTATACATTGTTGATTGAACTATCAAAATAGAGCAATGGAAATTCAATGGAAAGCTCAGTGAGGTCTCCAGAAACTGGCAAAATTAGGGGAAAATAGTGTAAGACTCTTTTTTTTCCACTTCCAGCTATGATTACTAAAATAGAAATGGAATTAAAAATCAAGATTTATGTAAGATTTAAATATTAATCAAGGAAAAGACAAGATGGTGGAGATAACAGGCAAAAGTGTATGAACCTTCAAAGTGTGTAAAGATATTTCCTTCACCAGAAGTGAAGATCTGAAGAGTTACCTGCCAAGGCTTTACAGAGAGATGAAGGTGTGGCTTCTTTCTGCCCTTCTTCATTGCCTGTTTTGATTCCAAAGTATACGCAGCATGTAATGCATATGCCACAGAATAGGCAGCATTGTAGATGCTGTAACTAAACCCGGTCATCTTTCCATCAAAGACAGAGGCCGGGAGGGTGTCCAGGTTCTCCTCCCCAGTGCAAACCTTTCGGCCATCAGGTGCGGCCAGACCTGCCTTCAAAAGCTCACAGTCAAATACAATTTCCCACCATTCGGGAAGAAAGACATCTCCATTAGGTTCATGTGGATTCAGAGCCCAGAGATAATTCTTGAACCCCGGCACTGGGTTTGTGTGGATCGTGAATGACAAAGCACCATGGAGGGATTTTAATTTCACCCAGTCGTAGTGATAGCCAATCGCTGAAAACTCCCATTGGGTGGTCAGGATCCAGACCTTCCCAGAAATAGCGTGATTCTCTTCTTCATAAATGTAGAGGGATACTATAAGGCTTTGCAGAGAATTTGAATCCCCCGAGATCATCACAACCTGAGCATCACTGTTCAAAATTGTCCAAAGCACATCTACTAGATTTCCTGGCACTGCATTGAAAATTGAGATTTGGGGCAAGATTTGTTTTACAAATTGTATGCAAATGTCATTGTGGGCAAGGGTGGTGTTAAAAATCTGGATGAAGTGGTCACTGCTCTCTGATTTCTGAACAATAACCCCAATCCAGTTCCATTGGAAATAGAGAAGGAGCTGGACAATGGCTGCATTCTGGAGGTGATACTGGGGATCAATCTGGTAGAAGGTGGGGAACCGGCTCTTATCCCTCAAAACAGGGTCACAGAAGCGGTAACCTAGCTGAAGGGAGGGTGGAGACAGAGGAAAAGGAAGTAATTAAGCAAGAAAATGGTACCTGTATTTCTTGTTAATTAGCAGGGTATCCTATTCTAGACCCTCGTCCTCACAACCTTGCACCTTCTTGAGATGTTTTCTACAGGACACAGAATTGGCTCTGGGAGTTGTTGGCAATAACCACACAAGGCAGAGCTTACATAATTACATCTCCATTCCCCCCTTTATCAGGTTGAGTATCCACATACCTGAGAAATCTTGAAATTGCCAAAGGTGGTTGCCATCTGGTATGAGGTTCTGGAGTTGAGACCCCCAAGGACAGAAAGAAGATTGTCCTGTGTGTAACACTTATAGTTAGGGAACAATTTTCCCCGACTGGAGAGCAGAGACAGGCTGACATCTTGAGTCATGCTTGCATACTCGTTCTCTTTGTAAATGCGGAAGCCCAGGGTGATGTTGGGGAGAAGCCGGGGGTCTTTGTTGATCTCCTGGATGGCAAATGCCAAGGCCAGGATGTGTTGGTAGTTCTTGTGAACAGGTCTTTGTTGCAAGTGTTAGAGGACAAAAATTAGTCAGGAGCTGGACGGTGATGTTTATTCTGCTATTTCATTACCAACATTCTAAGAGTTGATCATAAAGCAGATCAATACAAATTAGTGGATTCGTTTTACTACTGTCAGAACACAGGGTTGCTGTCAATCAGTTGATTCTGTTATTATTGTCAACAGTGTGTTACAAAGCCTCCTCTCCCTCTCTCTGCAGGACATTTCTGTGAGTTGATATGAAAATTATAATTTACAATATGAGCTCAGTTCAAGTCATTATTGATTTTTCCAAAATGAACTTTTCAATACAGTTAAGGAAATGTGGCTTATTATCTTAATAAAACTCTATACTTTATTATATCCAGTAATTGGAATCTTCACAGGCTGACAACTTCTGCTTTACATTCTCAAGCACTTTTTTCCAATCAGGCACCCTTCACCTATTATGTCATCATAGTCCATTTTGATCTAGGTGGTTTTATAAATCCAATAAATGCAATGATATTGAATTAAATTAAATGTCTGACCAATTTGATTTTTGCTGGCTAGCAACGATTAAGCTGATATATCTGGATGGCCTCCAGTTATAAAGAGCTCTTTTAATGTCTCAGAATGTGGAACTCTTTCTGTTGGGGATTCTCAAAGAAACTCGCTCCACTGACCTAGAAATGCCCAGGATTAACAGGAGATTGGTGGTGGGAAGCCAGACTTGGTGGGACAAAAGAAAGAACTTATCTATGTGGAAAATAATGCAAGCATGAAGGATGGTGTTATAAATCATCAGAATAATGAGTTGGGAAGATGAATTTAGTCCAGCAATAAGATAGAGGACCCTTGGATTATTTCTCCCCAAGTTCAACCCAAACTGGTTTCTCTGCAATGTGTTCCTTGCCTTCAGGAACATGGAGAAAAGATTGACTCCCTATTCAATGTGACAAGCTGTTCTTCAGCTCTGAAGAGTCAGAGGGCTTGAGAAGGGGATTGGAGAGAGACTGAATCATTAAGGAGAATCAATGTGTCCTATTTAGAAAGGCTCTACATCAACAGAGGCTGGATAGGATTTACTATCTACCCCATCTTAAAGTCTTCCCCTTCCATGTTGCCCTGAGAAAAAAAGACATTCAAGGAAACACTTACAGAGAATAGGAATCCCAATCACCAGGAGGCTCGTGTGGGAGTGGTACAACTACAGAAATGGAGAGAGGCAGGTTTCCACCGATAATGAGTTCTCCAGGTCTGTAGTAGTCTTTTTGCTCTTGGAAAGGTCTCCTCCATAAGCAGTTTGGCCTCAGGACCATCTGGACGCCTGCAGGCAAGGCCCATAGCAACATTAAAAGCCAACACATTGTCCGCAGAAAGAAAGCAGAAGATCAAAGTGGCAAGACAGTGCAAAGCATCCCCCCTCCCAACAGAATGGCAGGCCCCAAAGAATGTTTACAAAAGCATGTACACTATAGGAAGGGAAGAAACACTTTTCTTTGGGGATCTGACACCTTCTTCCTAGAGAAACTGAATGGAGGATGATGTAAGGACTGTGATGCTCTGATGACTTCAGAGGGCTCAAGTGGGGTTTGAAGTCTTCAAGATAAGCGTTCGTCTCAGCTCCAGCTCTAAAGTGACCCAGCCATATTATCCAGAGCCTGCTAAGTAAACATGTTTTGACCAGACACAAACCTCTTTGTGCTTAGGGAGGTTTAATCTCTGGAAATCCACTGAGTTGAAGTAAGAATTACTAGTGTTTTGCGAATCCCAGGAGAGAGAAATGTTCACATCATCCCCATAATTCTGGAGTCCTTGGCATTTTGGCAAGAGGAAAACCTATCTCTCAAACCACATTGTGACTCCGTCTGTGAATTGGGCAACTGTGTTTGGAGAGGGATGCAGCTTTAGAATTGGAAGAGAATTTGGGGGTCACCTAGTCCAATCCCCTTAATTTAGGATACACAAGGGGCAAATTCTTTTAAACATTGAAATCTGTTTGGGATTAACTGTTTTTGCTTTCACCTCCGAACTCTTTCCAGATTCAAAACTCCCTGGGACTTCCTGGAACAACTCACCATGGCCTTTATTCTGGTGATGTTTCCTTAACTGGCTAATGTTGATGTGTTTCAGCTATGAAGTACCTAGATGATTTTGAATAATCATATCATTTCTTTTCTTCTTTTCTTTATATATATATTCCATCAGGAGGAGGAGGGAACTACCACCCCCCCAACTCGACAGGAGACGATGATCCACCCACTGCATGGACTCTGGACTCCAGCGCGGACGTGCTGGGGAGGGGAGCGGAGCGGAGCAGGTTGAACGATCTGCAGGATGGTAGGCAGACGGAGGACACCAACCGAGGGAGAAAGGGGAGGCTTGCGATTACAGCCCCAGACCCCGGATCTCGGACTCCAGCACGAATGCATTGGGGAAGGGAATGGAACAAGCTGAACGGTCTACGTGGTGGTGGACAGACGGAGGACACCAGCCGGGGGGGGAAGGGGGAGGATTGCGATCGCAGCCCCCTACCCCCGCATTTACAACGATAACCGTGTCGGACTTGAAACACGGGGGGGGGATGAGAGGGGAGAAAGTCGCACCATTGGGAGGGAGACGGGGAGGAGTGGGGGGGGGGTGCTGAGAGGCAGATTGCTGACTGGGAAGGAGAAAGGGAAAAGACTGCAACCCCCGTGCATCGCGTTTGCAATGGTAATTACATCCGAACAAAAAAGGGGGGAGATAAGAAAATAGGAGTCTGTACCATCAAAAAGGAGACAGAGAGGGGGGGAGACGTTAGAAAGCGAGTTGGTGCGACGTGTACTCGACTATGGACAAAGAAGTGTGGGGCGACATTGGAAAGGACCCAAGGGGAAGGGTGTGAAGGTGATATGGAAAGGAAAACGGAAGACGGATCTGACCGCGCGAAAGGAGATCCTCTATTGACATCTAGCTCTAAAAAAGAAAAAATTCCCTGATGTTAGCTGTGCGGATGAGGGACGTGGGAGGGAGGAAGCTGTTACCAAGGAACCGGCGTCAGGAACGTGCTTAGTCATGGCCGGCCCAATAACGAGGTCAAGGAGCCGTGC